CTAGCCAACACTGGCTGGTTGATGGAAGAAGATGCCAGGCCAGCCCGTTTCGGAATTATTTTGTGCACCCACCATTGGTTTTCCATAGTTCCAAACACGTACCCTTTGGTTAATGAACGTAGCTATGGAAAAGGGCCAGTGGCCATTTATCATCATTTATTGATGAATTACCAGAGAACTTGGACATCCAAGCTGAAGGTTGTTGTGTCGTTGAGTCTTTGACCCACTTGGTCAGTTCAAAAGGTCTATAGTGTCCATCCCTACCGGAATTGGTCCAGTTTGTCCCAATCTTTGACTAAAAAAGCTCCTGGGGACCCTTAAGTAATTTATCTTGTTGCTAGGCCCTGCTAGGTACTGACACTGGCACTGCTCCGAGGCCAATCCGAGACCGAATCCTCGACCGATGGGTGCGGGGACCTGGTGAAACCGAGAGGTTCAAGGCCTTGAATTTGTTGATTTGCGGTGCCTGGTTATCGTTTTCAAAAAAAAACATGGTCAAAAGTCAAGATCCTGAGATCTGACAAGTTGATGTTTGTCTTTGTGCAAAAAAGATAAAACCATCCCACTTTTGAAGCAACCGCCTCAAAGGGATTCAGGACCGACTCTTCAAGGTCCATGGTAAACGGTTACAGTTTGCTATGGAAAAACACCATGTGCAATGGGTAAATCAACTATAAATAAATCACATTTTTCAATAGCAAACTGTAACAACACCACCGACTGGGACGACGACCATGGGCATCTTGATGGCCGCTCCGCTGGGAAGGTTTTTTTTGGCTCCGCAGGATCAATTGGGAATCCACGCGTCTCGTCCAGCTATCCATGACGCGACGTGTTCATTCCAGGTCTGGGTTATCCTTGATGCACTCGATGGAGTCTACCAACCCAAACTTCGTTTAGACTTTGTGTTTGTGGTTTGCAAAAAGTACACATGATCACATGATCACATGATCACGCATGTAACTGGTTGGTGGTTTGGAACATGAATTTGATTTTTCACGATTTTTCCATATATTGGGAATTTAATCATCCCAACTGACGAACTCACATTTTTCAGAGGGGTAGGTATACCACCAAGCAGCTTCAGTTCAAGTCCCGTCGCCCAGAATGAATTCTCCAGCGCTGTGACTGCTGTGATGCGGGGCCCCATTTTGTATCCCTTTGTTTTTGTTGCTCCAATACGAAAAGTTGCCAACATTGACACCCTTTTGATTTAACGTCCAACATCATCCAACCCAAAAACGGGTCAAAAACGGGTCTCGAAGATGACTTTACTAGAATATATAGTAATATATTGTGTATATATATTAATATCATATATATGTTTCAGTATTTGTTCATATTATAAGGCATGTGTTTGGTTCCATCTTGAATCGAACTTCTTTGCATCATGGAAAACTGAGTACTGGTCGTAGCTAGTTAGGAAGACCCCAGGAGTAGCTGGGTTTTTTCAACCTTGCTGACTTACTCCGGTACAATCTGTTTGATGATCCACTGAGATCACGGTCTCGCAGGACCAGCGAAGAGTCTGGTCACAGGGCCATGAACCCTGCTGATAAGCACCAGCTGCAGATGCCTCGTTTCCTGGCCTATGTGCAACGGAACCCGGACTCTCGGCCTCAAGAAAACGAGCGTGAAAACGCATGAAACGACACCGGGAAAAAGTTTGAGAATCTTGGTGAACTGTGGCTTCAATCTTTGCCATGGGGGATGATAACATCCTGCCTTCCAGTTGCTGCTGTCCTGCCCGGCTTGCTTTTGTGACGGAGTCTAAAATTGAACCATATTTCGGGTGCAGAACGCCTGAAACAAACATATTGGGTTGAAAGTCGTGGCAATACTCAAGACTTGGAGATGGAAACTGCTTAGGTCGCAAAATATGCCCACTGAAAGGAGATGGAAAAAAAACCTCCTATAATGGATTGGATGTGCGAAGTATCCTGGTTTTCGTGTCAAAGTCAAGACACTTGGTGACACTTGGTTGTTTCTGTTTCCAATAATTTGCTAGTTGGTGGCAGGTGGTTTCAAATATGTTCATCTGTTCACTGTGATGATTCAGACGACACTTAAGCATCTCAGGGCGGGCTGTTTTTGTTGGATTTGCATGAACATATATGGTAACCTCAAAGTTCCAAAGTCATAATGATTATCCTGTTGTTGATAGTTGATACATGTTGAAATATTGCCATTTTGGAGGTATATCATGGTATATCATGGTTCCAATTTCTGACAAACCCGTATCACACTCCGTCTTTGGGGTTTGCTGAGGATTCCTTTGAGCGATCAATTTGGACAGCTGGGACAATGGGGTTCACGGGCACGCGTTGGTTTGATTTGACAGCAACGCAAAAAGGTCAAGAGCTTGGAAATCCTGAACCATCCAGAAACCATGCGATAAAGATGTGGCTCGAGTTCGTTAACAGAGTGGGGAAGATATTTTAATTTACCATTTGGTTATTTAACTTAACAGTTTGCCATGGAAAGATCCACCATGCTATTAGTAGGCAAACCATCTATTTCTATGGGCCATGGCTTCCATGGCTATGTTAGTCATAACCAGAGGGTAGGGCTTTCCGAATTGTGGCAGTGATTGGAGATGATCAAAACTCCTGTTGTGCTACGATTCTTCAAGAGACGATCGTTTTTTTGATACGACCAGGAAGCAGTCATTACGGTTGTTGATAACAGTTTTGTAATGTTATATAATTAATTATAATTATAGAGTAGTTGGAAGTATTGTCATTTGGTGTAATGGCACTCAACTAGTAATGATTGTGAACTATCGTTGGGTGTAATCCCACAATCCCCCGCTGTATTTTAGTTTGTTGCCTAAGAAATCAACACCCATGAATGGAGGCTTGTGGCGGCCCAGCCGAAAAACTCAAGTGGTACTTTGTATCCTGGAGTTGCAAGTTGCAAATGACCCGTTTGTAGATGCTTTACCTATTAGATATTTCCATGGCAAATTATGTAATTCCCCAAGACTATGGCAAATGCGGAACAAAGGTTGCTCACACCACCCTGGGTGAACAACCATCCTAGTTGATAGTATCCCGCCTTAGATTCTTCAATTTCTGCAACCAAGTATCTTCAACTACCATTCTCCACCACAAACAATAATATCAAAGTCCATCAGTTGATTCCAAACTGGTCTACCAACTCCGTCCAACTCTCTGAATTGACGGTACATGATCCTATCAATTTTCCATCAAAATCCATGAAAATCAACTTAAAAAGCCAATGAAATCCACTTAAATCCCATGGAAATTCCAACGAATCCACGAACCCTCAGGAGATGGCGGTCCCTGGTCGACTCCCACAGCACCGAGCCGGAGCCGAGCCTCGATCGCCATGGGAATTCCATGGGAATCCCCAATGAGTTCTCTGATTCCACTGATGATCAACTTGTTTCTGGGTGTTTTAAGTGTGATTTATGATCAACTAATCATAACTAATCAACTTTTCTTGGTATTTTATGTTGTGTGATTTATGATAATCAACTATTACTGGACTATTAGTATAATAATGATACTATTCCATAATGAACGAAGAATGTATGGTGAATCTCATTATCAATTATCAACTAATTATCCTTTGGTTATTTAACAAAGATATAGAAGCCATGGCCCATTTATAGATGGTTTATACACCTATTAGCAATGGCGGTTCTTTTAACGGTTCTATAGCAAACATCAAATGATCAGAGGGTATTATAGGAGTTGTGGTTTCATCATCAAACATATCGGGATATGATTAATAAATAATAATGCTGGGTTGAGTGTAGAGGGTTATAGTACTATTGTACTAACCTGTACATATATATATATAGATACACAGTATATATATACCTAGATCTTCATGGATGCTTTAATTTTAGTAGTTTCAGGAAAAGCAGAAATTTCAGCTCTTGATGTCACAAAAGTGCCGCTGATGAAAAAAATTGCCGCCAGCCCCGCCGGCACTGAGTTACCCAAAACACAACAGCCTCACAATTTGTACCCCTGAATCAAAAAGATAATGGTCAACATCATTCAAGTTCTTTCAGCTGTTTGATTGCAATAAATATTCCTATTTGGGTATATAACGATGATTGAGATGGCCAATGTTGCAGGTCAATGGGTTGCCCTCTTCTGAAACACATCCAAGTGGTTTACCTAATCGACGGCGTTGGATCCCAAAGCCTCAACCCAAATCCCACTTCAACAGCTCTTTCGCACCGGACATTGCGATCGATGACATCGCATTTCTGCAGGGCAGCCCAGATCACCGGGTGATCCTTTGGCATTTCAACTTCATTTGTTGTTTCCTGAATCGTCGGTACACCGATTTGGCCTTTGTCAAGTAGAGCTGAAGAGCACGTGGCGAAGCAGTCCGAGCTGACACTCTACGAATTAGTCTTGAAATTTTTCCCACTATGTCTTCATTCATTTCACATCCGAACAGCTGCAAATTTGGGACGAGGGAAGCATCTCTGTTTTGTAGTACCTTCAATACATCAAGTTTCGCATAGCAGATCAGGTGGTACTTAGATTTCATACCAAAACCAGTAAAGCCATACTTGTGCATCGCAAGAAAAGCACAAGCATTGTAATTGCGAGCAAATGCATGCATTTCTTTGTACAATTTGCCACCGCAATTTTTGTTCAACCATAGGTGGTGGGAGTAGCAGATCCTTTGTAAGGTTCTGGCTGAGTCAGCTGCATTCACCATGTGCTTCAAAACAGTCGAATCTTCATCCTTCAGCGGTGCGTTTTGAAACCCAACGAGCATAGTATGCACCCAAGCCAGCAAGTGTGAAGTATCAGACCCCTTACAGTTCACCCAAGGGAACGCATGCCATGAAGGACTGTTGAAGAAAGAGAGGGAAAAACCTCTGAGCGCAGGTGTCCTCCCAGTGGTCTTGCAAAACCAGCGAAAATGAAAATAGGCCCTGTCCAGCAAGACATCACGACGATTACTTTCACCATCCACATCAAAGTAGTGCATCTTGGCCAGGAGCATCACGCAACTGGCAATGAAGTCTCTGTATATACTCCCTGCTTCGTATTGTGGAAAATGTCCCGGCGAAAAAACCGTTCGTAGGGAGGATTATCATCCCCACCTTCGTATTCAAACGGTATGTGACACAAAATTGGCTTCACAGAAAAGGGACGGACAGTGTAACAAGTTGGACCCCACAACGGCTCATGGGTTGAGTCTTCAAATGGTAGCTCAGGAGTACCTGCCATGCATTCATGGCACATTGGTTTGCCAATGGAAATTTGGGAGCCAAATGATCGCTCAAGTTCAGCAATACGCTGCACCCATTTCAAGTCCCCTTTGCTGCCAGTACATGCTCCAAACCACCGACGGCCACCACTGCAAAATCCAGTTTCAAACAAAATGTTGAAGTCCCGGACGATCTCAGTCAAAACTGCATCTACTAATTCCTTGTTCTTCTTAGGAAGCGCAGCCAAAACAAATTTTGTCAAGAAAGAATGCTGTTTCAAGTTCGTAGTCTGATAGCAGGCAGGGTTCATGGCTGAAGCTGGGGCACTATGGTCCAAGCGTAACCTTTTCCTGGCTGGCTCATCAAGGCTACAATCCTCGCAAGTCGAAGCACCCTTTTTGTTGACCCAGTTGGCCCAAGTGTCCAACCCCACGCAAGTCTCCATCATAAGAATGGTGGTGTTGCCTCTTTTCAAACCACGTCCCTCATCTCCATGAATCGCCAAAGCAAAAGTGTTGGATAAAGAACGCTCAGACTTTTGTTCTTTGAAAAGACAGTGTGTCGGGTGTATATGGGAATAAGCTTTCCAGAATGATTCCAGCTGCGCTTGCCCATCATCCAGGTTGGGGCAACCACCCATCAACAATTCAGGTGCTTTTTGTGTCAAGTAGTTCAAGAAGTCCAATGGTTTGATGTAAGCAAATTTCACTGTTTCACCATCATGCTCCACATCCACATAGGACAATGGAATTTTCCAAGTCAAGCCCCATTTGTTGATAAAATAATGTGCATCACGGCTTGCATTTTTGCGACTACGTTCTCCGCTGAGACCTGGCTGCACCTCCTCTCTTGCTACAGCAGCAAAATGAGAAAGTGTAGCAGCTGGAGCCTCAGAAGCTACCAGGGTGATGGGCTAAGACTGGCCAGCTTCATGGTGGTATGATTCAAAAGGGTATCTCATCCAAGATGTTTGATTTTTCCCCACCTGCCAGGTGAGGGTTGTTAGATTTTATGTCAGTTGCCTGCTCCTCTCCTCTCCTCCTCCTCCTCCTCCTGCTCAACCGCGATCCACGCTCAGTGTTCCCTGCCGGACCTCAACCACGACCATCCCCGCCCAGTGTTCCCTGCCGGACCTCAACCACGACCATCCACGCCCAGTGTTCCCTGCCGGACCTCAACCGCGAGTATCCACGCCAAGTGTTCCCTGCCGGACCTCATGTAGGAAGATATGGGACAAAGAATGTGCAGAAGAAAGTTAGAAAGAATGTCAGACAAGTATGGTTAAGCAAACCTGTTGAGAGCTCTGGAGTTTACTTCACATGGCCCACTGACATGTTTATATCCTGTTTGACAGACTGACATGCACAATGACCTGCCAGGTGAAACAAATGATTGGGATAGTTAGTTGGGCAAAAGTCCCGTGACAAAAGCTTCAGACAAAAGTGGTGTCAACAAGCTGTTTTGAAATGTCATGGTGGGGATCACTCGAAGCAAAGTAATTTATTTTTTGCTGGGATTTAAGTTTTGAGTCCCCAACGCCATCAGCTAAAACCTCCGCATAGTTGTGCGCAGTTTCTCCAGGCGGTTCTGGTCGATGTTGGGCACCTGGCAAGAATTAGGGTCAGGCAAGAATAAGAGGTGGATTGATGTCAAGGGGCTGCCCAAGATCTTTGCCCAACAGTAATGGTTCCCACACCAAATCCAAGCGGTAGTGGTAGTCCTCTCTTTGTTGTTGTTTTGAGACCCAACTGACCCAACCAGAAAAAAAAACAAGGTAAGGGATAAGCCCACTTCAGCATTCCATGATCAAACAGCACCCATTTTTGAAGCAGCTGGGAAAGCCAAGCGTTCTCGATGATTTCATGGCACATGGATAGTGCCCACATCATAGTTGGCACGACTGAAGATGAAATGACTGAAAAATATAACATCTTTTTGTGTTTGAATTACACAAATCCAACCATGACTGTGGGTAGCAGACTCCAAAGCCCAGCTCGAATTGCAAATGGCACTGGATTGCGACACACGCTTTACCCCAGCGTGCGTGGCACGAAAGATACCAAACCTAGACTTTAAACATTTTACTGCTGCCTGCGCTTACCTTTGCCCTGGCCCTTGCTATGGTCAGGGGAACGGTGTTCTTCCTTTGCCGCACGTCTGCTCTGAGGTTTCGGCTTCGGCTTCGCCTTCCCATGGGCCTTCGCCTTCGCTTTGGGCTCAGCAGAGGTCTGCTTGGGCTGAAAAGGCCTGACAGAGTAACACAAGTCAAAAGGCTAAGCTTCAGCTGAAGATATTACAGCCCAAGATTGTTTTAACATTTTTTTCAAGATGTTTATTTGCCAAGCTTTTGGGACTTGAGAAGAATCCCTGCCTGGCCCTGGCTTCGAGTGCCAACGACGATGCCGCCCTGCCAGAACATTGCAGCCCCTTCGCTGTTGTTTCAATTTCAACACATGTGAAAAACATTAACGGGTGATTTGGGGGATCAACTATTGTAAACGAAAATGCTGAACCCCCACCTGGTCATAGCCTTGTCAACCAATTTCTTCAGATCTTCCTCTTCCCTTGGCCAAGAAAGAAAGCTATGTCAAGTGGTTGAATACTGTTTAAGGCCCAACACCATGCAATACTTGTCACTATGTACAAGATATGCATTGGACAAGCAACTCTCTCTTGAATCCTTGAACCACACCCTTGGAGTAGGCATTCGATATCTCCGTGTGAATCTCCTCTAGCGATGTCACTGAAGCACTCAGGGCCGCTGCCAGCCTGGGATGAAGGATGTTCAGTTAAGAGGGGGCAACAGGAACAAAGTAAACTAAGCTGTGGTAATAGCTAGCAGTTGTCCCAATACAGTTTCAATCAAAAGACCTGGTTTGCACTTCTGTCAGCTGCCCATCTTGTGGAGCCACAAACTTTACCTTGAATGCGGCGACCTTGCTGATCCGCTTTGCCAACGCAGTCCTCAGATATCCAACATAGGCCACTACCCCCAAGTCATGGAGATCCAGATTAATTCCTTAAGCCTAGGGAGTTTGATGTCAAGTTTCAGATACTTGTTCAGGGATGCACTGGGTAAAGCATCTGGGTCAGCCTCCGGGATGCCAAGCTGTTTCCTCAACTTGATGCCTGCATCGTCATTGGTGTCGTCATCCGACTTCGTCAGGTCAACATCATCATTGCCTGGAGACCAGGAGGGCAAAGGGCTTGGCAGGACGAGGTTGGAAGTTCGTGGGTTAGAGAATTTTAAAAAGGAAGGCGCCAAAAACTGTCCACAACACCATTTTGGTCCGACCTGTTCGACCATAAATAACATGAGGGTTACCCAGGTCCCAGTAAGTAATCTAATAGTCTGTAAGTAATTAATACATGAAAACGAATTGTACAGATAACGGTACTTGGTCTGGCCTTCTTGTCCATCAGCAAAGGGGCCCTCATGGCTGAGGGACATTCCACCAATACCCTTCTCATGCAAGCGGGCTCGCTTCGTGACCTCCACTCGGGAGGCTTGCCTGGGATTTCAAAGGTTCACCGATTCCTACTTTACGTGATTAATGAATGCTGGTTCTTTTGCTGGTCAGAGAAGGGGTGGTGGTGCAGCCACGAAACTTGTAGCTTCCCTTCACGGCCTTCTCGACATAGAACAAGGTGATTTGCTGGTAGGTATCACGCCTGCAGGAGCGGGGCACCGAACATATTCTTTCTTTAACTGATGACATGCATGAATATATAATCCAAAAATAAAGGGCAAGAAAGAAGAATGAAAGAAAGAACAAAAGATAAAAAGGTAAAAGGATGGACGGATGGATGGATCGATAGATGGATAGATGGATGAATAGACGGATAGATGGATTAATGGATCGATAGATGGATGGATAGATGGATAGATGAATAGAACAAAAAAACAAATAAATACATAGATAGATCAATAGATAAATGGGTGGATGAATAGATGGATAGATGGATAGAGGGATAGATACCGAGATGGATAGATGGAAAGATAGTCTAGGTAGATAGATAGTCAGATAGGTAGATAGATGGATAGATGGATGGTTGGATGGATGGATAGATGGATAGATAGACAGACAGACAGACAGACAGACAGATCTTTAGGTGTTCTAAATAGGTCAATTCATGGGCAAGTCTTACAGACCAAGTGGAAGAAACAAGCAGATGGATAGAGAGAGGTGGACAAAAGGGCAGCTGGGCAGATAGAGAAACAAATAGATTCACAAGCAAACACATAAACTTAAATAATAGATATGTCAAAAACAAAAATTATAGTTGTATCGATGGACATGGACATGAACATCACTAAAATTAACTTGCTAGTGATTTTTATCTCCACAAGCAAGATGTGTCATCCTCTGCCAGCCAGCACCCCACAGGAAATCCCAGCGGAAGGTGCCGCAATTACATGCTTGGGGCCTCAAGAGCTTCTTTGGCTGGGATCGGCAGTGCTTCTTGACGGCTTCTATGCGCTGCCTCAAATCAGATTCTAGATGGGGAGAATTTACTATAATAGGCTGACAGGCGAAAACCATACCCAGTAGCAACCATAGTGGGAAATCCAGCCCAAACAATTGTTAAATTCAACATGAGGAGCTCAGACCACCCCCAAGATTCCATAGTGGCTTGGGTAACAAATTCACCCTCGATGGTTACCTCGCACTCCGTCATCTCGGATTTCAAAACTTCAACCTCGCAGATGAATGTTTCCTAAGGGCGGCAGATATTCTGAATTAGAAAATATCCCTGGGAGGCAGTGCCCATAGACGAGACATAAATACGAAGAATACAAAGGGATATCTAAGTTACGAACCATGTTTCCGGGTCATACCCACAGCGTTTGAAGATGTCTTCCAAAAGCCTTCTCTTGTTGCCTTTTGATTTCCAATCATTCCAGATCTCATCGCTCACCTTCTTGCTACCATCAGCCCGTTTGGTGAAAATTCTCTTGGAACGACTCCGGATGGCTTCCGGTGTCAGATGGTGTTCATGTGTTTTGAACCGTGGGGCCAATGCATCACTGATATCTGGAATCTCATCCCAATCAGCCTCAAAGGGTTCTGCCTCCACATGGGTCCCCGGATAACTTTGAATGGTCCCATCGGAATTGGAAATGGTTCCTGGGCTAGCATTTGGGGAATCTGGGTTTGGCAACCTGTTTGGCTCAGCCATAATTGCCTTTCTTTCACTCTCTGACAACACAGGGATCCTGGCCACCTGTGGTGCTGAAGTGGGGCTCGGTTTGGGCCGGGGCTGTTGTGGAGTAACCAACCCCTGAGGTGCATAGACGTTGGAAACCACTGTCTTTTTGTTGGAAATGAACTCTTCATCCGAATCGTTGTCACGTTGGGTCTCTGGGAAACCTGTGGGTACCTCTGCGCTGGCTGAGGCTGAAAGACTTTGCTGTGGCGAAGGGATCCCCTTCACTGCAGGTGGCAGGGCCCCCTGCTTCACAAGGGTCTCCAGTTCCTGAGATGATGGGGCTGGCAACTATGTCATGCCTTAAAGTATGCCCCAATGTATCCAAACATTATATAACATATCCCCAAGCTCAGTCATGTGGATGTTAGCGTGCATGAACCTGGATAAGGGTATTGAAACTGAAAACGTCAAATATTGTAATAAAAACAATTGTTGCTATTTGGTTTTACTGTAGCATGTAATGTTCCCTTACAATCCATAGACTTGGGTTTTGACGGTGTCTTTTCACCAACTGATGGGGTGGTAAACTTAAGTAACCTACTTGCCCATATTACATCCTATGTTCAACAGACCCATTGGAAGTTTGAAGACAGGGCACTGCTAGATGCCTTTTCATTTCTTCTTCGGAAAGGGACTCCACAGCTTGTCGTTCATAGTGTTGCCGAGCTTGGTCACATGATGTCATCAATGTCGCACAAGACCACGCTCGAGAGAGCATGGGAACCATGGTAGAGCTAAAGGTAGCAAGCTGCAATGGCTAGTGTAAAAATATATATGCTTCAAGATCTAATGTCAAACAAGGGCAGTTGGAAATTCGCCATGTTGACTCTGTGTGAAGTTAGTTGCCATCTCACCAACCCCCATCAAACACATTGCCACTAACTTTTTTCGTACCTGGAGTTGCACATCTTGCAATCAGCAACGTCCTAGTGGTGAGGTACCACAAGGCTAGAGGCAGTTCAATTGGTGGGCTGAAAGGAATGAAGATCGTTTCCCAGCAGCTTCACAAAACAACAGTTAATTTATAGGCTTGTACTTTTTTGACCCAAAAACCCCGGTCGGGGAAAAGCGCCGTTTGGCCGCTAAAAAGCGCCGTTTGGCCGGCAAAAAGCGCCGCTGCCAAAATCTATTTTTTTACAATATACCCCATCAGACCCAAAATTAATATTTAGAGACCCTTTCAATCCACCGATTGGCTGTCCAAAGGGTCCTCCCATAGCTCCATCCTATCAGGAAACAATGCCCGGTATTCATCGGGCAGTCTCAAGTCGTGACAGCCCCTCAGGTACTGAATTGTGCCTCCAAGCTCTGCTGTGGACCAGGAGCTGCAGGGAACGGCTTGGATAAGCCTGCTTGTGGGAGTCTGCATATCCACCTGGGCATTGCGACAATGGGAGAACATCAACATGAACATAGGAGACAATGGGACATAGTACATGAACATGGGGAGAACCACTCAAAATGATCCCATACTGTTATTCTAGTTCGGCCCAGGCAACAAAAACACGAAAATATTGAGAAATATATTGAACACTAATCTGGTTGAAGGCTCTGGTAGCTTCCATGTGGGTTCTTCTTCACGCATGTGCATGGCAGCTTGAATGATTCTACCAGCAAACTTAGCTGGATAGCTCCTGAGAGTTGGTTTTGCAAATATATCATTTTCATCCCTGCAAACTTGTACAAGAAGAACCCCAAATTGTAAATTGGCAAAAACAATTTAACCACTTTCTGAGGCTAGGGGCTGCGTTGACTTTAGTGCCTTTGTACCATGATAACGCAGCTTCCCTTTTCCATCTCGATATTTGGTCGTAGTCTGCACTTCTGTAGGATTGAGTTTACGGTCAAGTTTTCCAGTGCAAAGTAGCTTCACAGCTTTCCCATTAGATACCAAAAGAGTTCTTTTGGGCGAGCTCCCACCCCACAAACGCATCCACATCGCCACTCGGTACACCTGGCAGGGCAGGTAGCATCAGCGAAGAGGACAGGTCACACGGGGGGAAAGGTTGCTACCATACCTGAACCCAGTTCAAATTATTACGAGAGATATGGTGGAAATATTACAGGTTTGTAAGTTTTGGTTTCTTGACTTCGGGGGTTGCAGCATTCCAAAACTTCCCCACTAACATGACTACATGACATGGCCTGGTTTCCTGCCATCATCAACTTCTTCAACGCTTCCTTGATATACTTGTAGTGGAAGAAAAGCGATGAACCAGGTTGTTCAATTATGAACCGGGCATTCATACACCCAAAAAGTAGAAGCAAAAGACCAGTCCTCCAGGGTTGATAAATTCGGGCTCTTCTTTAACAACAATAACAACAACATGTCCCCAAATAGACAGATCTGATTGGACAAACCCTGTCCGGCATGCCAACTTGTTAGCTTTTCTATTTTGAACCAAAGTCTCATCACCACCTGGAACTAGAATACTTCTTTTGCTGGTGCCAATATTGATGCTTATCCATGTTGAACAGGGTGGTGCAAGCATGGCCACCAGGACGCCAAAAGATGACTGCATGGCCAACACCACGGCTAACCTCACAGCCCAGGTGGAGGCAGGTAGTGACATTCCAGGGTGTGTAAGAAACAAATCAGATCTATCAGTGGGAAAAAAAACAATACAAAACATGCCAACAGAATGGAAACTCAGGGACGCAAAGCCACTGTCCCCGCAAAAGTCCATTGAATTGCGATGGGGATGTCGACGATGACGACGATTTGGTTTCCGTTTTGGGACAAAACCTCTTGATATTTCAAAGGATGCCACAACCATGCCAATTTTGGCTGCAAGGGAAGAAATCCTTCCAAGTCCCGAAAAGTATTCGATCATCTCCCATTCTTCCCTCCCAGCCAGCGGTCCCGCCACCAAGCATCCACATAGAAGCACTAGTAAAATAAAGTCCTGGGATGCCAGACTGGTTTGTAGTCTTCCCCATTGAAAGGAAACAAGTGAGTATACAGCTTATTTCTGGGTGTTCTGAATTAATGCAGCTCATGGGTCTCTAGGTGCATTGATTGCCACAAGGCGCCGCAACACCAGTGAAATTTCATCGGGCGACATGGTGTCAGCTGCGGTTTGCTGCTGTGAACTTGAAAATGTCTCCACACAGTGGTGACTTTCCATTGCGCTTGCAAAAATATTTTTCCTTCTCACAAATTATGTGTTGACTGTTGACATCGTTTCAACCCCGGAATAATAACCAGTCACACCCATGGCCCCCTGGCCCCTCCCAGTCGGAGCAGCTAATCATGCAGGTAGCACCACCCTTGGCGACAAAGAACCCACGGCTAGCAAGGAAGGCTGGGCCGCGTCTTGGCGGCATTCAAGACGTACCTGTGGCAGAAGTGGCTGAAGGGAAAAACTTGAACTGGGCTACCAAAAAGGGTTAGAATCACTACAGGTGGTATATTGAATTCTTTTAAACTGTAATGTTTCTGGGGGCTACGAATTTAGCAAAAGGGCATTTGCAAAAATAGCGAGTCTGTACTGGTAAAGTAGCTATGATATACCCAGGAATTAAATTGACTCTTCACAAGATAATGTTTCTCCAGGTCGAAACGTGTAGATGCAAACCGATTCAAACAAACAAAGTTTTTTTGCGCATTCGATCAGTTGAAATTTTGGCTAGCCATGTTCAGCACAGAAAGCCATCTCTCTTGAACTTGTACCCAACAGCTACGACCCAATGAAGCTGTCCCAGCCCAGCATCATCATGAGGGCCCATACCAAAAAGGCGAGGGGAAAAACAAATCAGTTGTTTTGCTACTTGACCATGTTGTATCATGTTGTATCTATACATTTCATCAATAAATAATAGTGTTCACTTAACAACATGTGGGGCCCTTGGGTAAGACTGGGGCAGCTCCAAAGATAAGGACATCTAGGCCATTCAGGCATCCAGGAACCATACGCTAGAGGCAGCAAGCCAAGTATCGTGCCGACAATGGCAGCCCGATACAACCCCGAATCCACACAAGCATTGCAGCTTGTATGCCACCACAAAATGCCAAGCTCAGCAGTCCTTGAAGTAGCTACCTGGGAGTTTTGATTCAGAACCAGAGTGCCGGAGTCTCTTGAGTCTCAACTGAAAGGTGGTAAGGAGGGCTGAAACGATTCAGGGGTTTGAACTGTGGGAAGGATGAAGCTGTCGGAAGGATGCTTGAAACAATACCATCAACAATGCCATCGGGAATGAGGATTGACATGATACTGCAAAAAATATACTAAATTCACCATGGGACGGACAGAGTCATAGCTCAGAAAATGTGCGGCCTTCTCCTCGGCAATCTCCATGAGCTCTTTTTCGGAAGCATCGGGGACCTGCCTGAGATCTGTGAAAGCAAAGTTCCACCACTTGCCCTGCAGGGTACCGGGTATTGAAATGCCAGACAACATGTAAAGCTCTCACCCCAAAAAAACCCAAAACCACTAAAAACCTCAAACATTTTGGTGGTTTGGTGATTTGCTGGGGTCCACTAGCTAAGCTTGCTGTTGCCCAGTTCGACTGTGAACCCCAACAGGCTCCAATAGATTCAATAACTTTTTGGAAGGTAGCGAGCCTCCACCTTGGAGGAGTTCAGGGCAACCATGGGCCAGATCTGATTCTCGTAGACCTTCCTCAAAACGTCAAACCTCAACTTTGCTTTTCCTGTCTTTGGTGCTGCCCTCCCTGCAAAAGTTTTCTTGCCGGTGGCATCACCATCCTCCTCAGCTCCACCTTCGTCTTCAGCCTGCTCTGGGGCAGCTTCGCCCTCAGCTGCCTTAGACTTCATCTTCTTGCTTGCTTTGACCTCCCCTGCTTTCTCCCGCTTCTCCTTCTTCTTTGCTGGCTTCTCGGCCTTCTTCTTCTTCTTCTCTGCCTCTGTGTCACCATCAGCATGGGAACCTGCAGTCTTCACCCGCTTGGGTTCCGGTCTGCTCTTTGCTGCAGAGCGGGGACGGACTGACTTGGTCTTGGCCTTGGCCTTGGCCACAATGGCCTGGGGCGGCTGCGCAGAATCGTCACCATCCGAAGCTACTGCCTCGAAAGCATCAGAGAGGTTCTGCCGGGCATCATCAGACTCACTGGCAGCATCCGAAGCCACAACTTCAACGGGGGCTGCCATCTTGGAACGCTTGGCCCGTGTGGCAGCACGAGCAGCAGGGCGCTTGATTGCGGTGGGTGCCCTGCCTCGTCGAGGCGGCTTGGCTGGTGCTGCAGGAGCAGAATCCATCTTCTGGATCTTACCCTTGGAATCTTTGAAGGCATGCTGGTCCTCCCTCCGAACCATTGGGAAATGATCACATTCAGAATCATCACCCAGGTCCTGTTCAAGGTCATCGGGTCTGGCATCCGTGGGCTCCGGATCAGCTTGGGTCATCCCTTCACGGGGATCGCCGGCAGCAGGAAGATCATCGCCAGCTGGGCCCTCATCCTCAGGGATATCAGCAGGAACCTGGGATTCCTCAGTCTCAGGAACTTGGCGTGGATCACGCAAAGGCGAAGGCGTCATCTCACCCTCCAAGGGCTCAGCCGCCTTCGCAGCATCCAACACAACCTGGCTCCAAACCTCCTCAGGCATGGGCAAGGTCTGCAAATTATCAGGGCCTTGGATGGATGATGTCAAGGAAACAGAAGCAAGCTGAAAGTTTGGGCTTGGGGGTTGTACAGTGTAGGCTCTTACACCCATACAAAATAGACAACAAAACAGGGACCAAGGTTTTACTATACGTATATACATTATAAAAACAATGACATGATGATGATGGTGATATTTTTTGGAAGCAGAATAATTTGTTTATCACTTGCCTAGTTGCATGCATGCGTGGGCGGTGGCCCTGCGACCTCCGGCACTTCAGGCTGCTCAGCGGAAGACTTCGCCGCAGAAGCGTCCAAGGCTTGCTTGCGCTTCTCGAGACAGTTCCTGGGGATGGGCTGCAACAAGTTTTTTGATCAAACTTTATTAATGCTACCGCCCTGTGGGATGCCCCCTGTTATCTGGACCAATGCAACCCTATAGAATTTGCAATTCCTCATCCTAAAGTATCTCAACCCCTAATCTATGCTTAATTGGGGGTAGTTTTGATCGGCTCATGTAACCCTTCCTAATCAATGAAACATAGAATAAAAATTGATTTACCGATAAGCACCGAAAGTATTTCCCCACCTGCCAGTGAGGGTTGTTAGATTTTATGTCAGTTGCCTGCTCCTCTCCTCTCCTCTCCTCTCCTCTCCTCTCCTCTCCTCTCCTCTCCTCTCCTCTCCTCTCCTCCTCCTCCTCCTCCTGCTCAACCGCGATCCACGCTCAGTGTTCCCTGCCGGACCTCCACCACGACCATCCCCGCCCAGTGTTCCCTGCCGGACCTCAACCACGACCATCCACGCCCAGTGTTCCCTGCCGGACCTCAACCGCGAGTATCCACGCCAAGTGTTCCCTGCCGGATCTCATGTAGGAAGATCTGGGACAAAGAATGTGCAGAAGAAAGTTAGAAAGAATGTCAGACAAGTATGTTTAAGCAAACCTGTTGAGAGCTCTGGAGTTTACTTCACATGGCCCACTGACATGTTTATATCCTGTTTGACAGACTGACATGCACAATGACCTGCCAGGTGAAACAAATGATTGGGATAGTTAGTTGGGCAAAAGTCCCGTGACAAAAGCTTCAGACAAAAGTGGTGTCAACAAGCTGTTTTGAAATGTCATGGTGGGGATCACTCGAAGCAAAGCATTTTTTTTTGGATTGGCCACCATTTTTACTTGGCTAGACCTTATGTTTTGTTATTCCATAAAGTTCAAAATTGGGACCACCGAGTTTCTTCAAGGAATCGATTCGCTCTTGAATCCAAATCCTTTGTGTTGGGTCCAGCGGCTTGTCAAGGGGAATACTGGAAGGGGGATATGGCAAAGTTGGAAGCTCATCACTCCCTGCAGCCTCCACTCCTTCATCTTCAGCCTCAACCACATCTCCAACTTCACCCTTGCCAACCT